AGTGAATAAAAATACGATAACCAGTTTCAGGTATAAATCTTTGTCTTTTACTTTGTGAAAAATGAATTTGTTGGGCAGTTGATACTTCTGTAAATTGTCTAGTTGCTTTGTCTAGCTTTAGTAGGTCTTAATGCTGTTCTTTATAGAGTAACACTCTATTTTAACCAGGTAGCGTGTAGTAGCGTGGTCTATCTCCCTCCCCTCTATCCCATCCAGAAAGTGCTTCTTTATTCAACTGTAGGTTATTCCAAGAGGGCCCCTAAGGATGTTTTGAAGACAAGCAGATGCTTGGGGTCTGGTCCTGAATTTGGGATCTGGCCTCGGGCTGTGGGCTACAGTTTTTGGTTTTCAGTTTTTAAATTTATACTGGCTCTAAATGGTTTTGATTGATTTGACCTGGTAGTCTTATGGATGACTTGAGAATACTGTTATTTAATGAATGCACATTATTTTGCTTTGTCTTTTTTTTTTCCCAGTTGGAGTCTTACTCTGTTGCCTAATCTGTAGTGAAGTGGCACATTCATGGCCATTGCAACCTCAACCTGCTGGGCTTAGGCGATCCTTCCGTTTTAGCCTTCCAAGTAGCTGGAGTGACAGGCGTGTGCACCATGCCCACCTAATTTTTGATTTATTGTAGAGATGGGATCTTGCCATGCTGCCCAGGCTGGTCTCAAACCCCTGGACTCAGGCAGTCCTCTCGCCTCTACCTCTCAAAGTGCTAGGATTACAGGTGTGAGCCACTGTGCGGGTAACTTTTATATATGTATATAATTTTTTTTGAGACAGCCACTGCCGCCTCTGCTGTGCTCAGGAGATCCTTCTACCTTAGCCTTCCAAGTAGCTGGAACTACAGGTACGAGCCACCAAGCCCAGCTATTTTTTTTCATCTTCTGTAGAGACGAGATCTTACCAAGTTGCCCAGGCTGGTCTAAAACCCTGGGCTCAGGCAGTCCTCTTGTCTCCGCCTCCCAAAATGCTGGGATTACAAGCATGAGCCACCGAACCTGGCAGAAACTTACCTTTTTTTAAAAATTATTTTAATTTTTAAATTTTTTTTTTGAGTTGGAGTCTCACTCTGTTGCCCAGACTGGAGTGCAGTGGCCACTCCCGG